ATAGATCACACACACACACACACACACACACACACACACACGCGCGCGCTATGACACAATCATACTGCACAAAGGAAAAACTTGTTGGAGTAATCCCCAAAGCGAGTCGTCCCAGCTTTCTTCTGTAAAAAGTAAATTCACACCCATTTGCAGTAAAGGTCACCAGTATTTACTTCCTCCCCTTCCTGGGGACTTGGCAGATGGCTCCTGCAAGCTCCCTCAAGGATCTTCTCATTGGCTGAATGTGACCACATTCAGCCAATGAGAAGAGAGTGGAGAGGCTGCCGCTCCCATGGAGCAGAAGCAAAGAGGGGCCTTCTGCAGCTGCCTCAATGCCTTCCTGCCTTCCTGCTGTTGATCCTGGTGAATCAAATGGTGCTGTAAGCAAGTCCTCTAGGGGGAGACTGTCTAGAGAGTTACCTGTACCTTCCACAGACTTTGCAAGAACAGTCAACACGCTTCTCCTGTCTTAAGACACAGACTTTAGGGGACTTTGCTACCCCATGAGCTCCTCTATTTACTTTGAGACATAAAGTGTTGACTCCAGCAATTGTTTTGATCCAGTGGTCCCACTGACCACTTCCACGGTGTTCTTAGTCCCCAGAAGATACTGGAATGAAACAGACTCCAAAATCCACCAAGGGACAGCTCAAATCCCCCCAAGAGCTGCAAGGTAAATACTGACCTCTGGGGAGCTTTGGGTCAAGTTCCATCACTTCATACAGCAGAACAAGAGGTCTGAGTCTGGTCAGAAGTAAGCTCATTCTAGAACCTGCAATTCATTCAGTGAAACTGTTCTTTGCATCTATTGTGATACACGTAATGTTTTAGGCATAGGACACTCGGCCTCAGCAGCAGTGACCAAGGCTCCAGTCTGCTGCCATGGTGCCTGGACTCTGGAGCTGGAGACATAGGTGCACAGATGACCCTATCACCCAATGGGATGGCAGATGGTTCCAAGTGTCATAATGAGGACTTTCTCCCTGCAAGAAATAGTCAGAGAATTTTACCAAAGTGTAATAATGATAGCTGATGCTATAGGGGATACAATATATTTATTTACCAGAGAAAGAGAGAGTCACACAAGCTAGGAGTTAGAAGCGTGGCTGGCTTCCAAAAAGGGAGGTCCTTTTTCCTTTCGCTTCCTTTTATCTCTACCTGTGCTAATTTACTTGTCCCCGCCCTCATGGGTGGATAGCTTTGTGGGGTTCACTCCTACAAAAGTGAATTACTTTAGCCCTCTTGACACCTGCATAAAATTGTCACAATTGTCTTCTGTCAACTAATGAAGAACTTTAGGCAGAGAAGACCTCATGGGTAAGGTCAGACAGCAATAGAGAAAGGACACAGCCTTTGTCTTCTCTGGTACCTGCTTTTTGCCATTGCAAGACAGTGCCTTTCAGCAAACAGCACAAAGAAATACATTCCAAAACAGCTTGTTTGTACTGTCTATGACTGCTTTCTCTTCCCTCTCTATCAGTACGGCTGTGATGGAGAAACAGAACATTGTAGACCCTGCGGCCCAGAGTTAACTGAAATGATTGCATCACCAGCTCCTGACCTCATAAGCAAAAAGCATCCACCTGCCCTGGAGAGGTAACGTGGAATAAAAATAAAAACGGGGAAGCACATCCCAGGAAGATTTCAGAGCCCCAGATAGAGAGCAGAGCAAGGATGAAGCACCTGAGTTTAAAAAGGCTGACGTCTGGTCCACATCAACCCTTGCCAAGACTAACCAGTCATTTCTATCCCCAATCAAATGCCAAACAACTGTTGGAACTGCAAGGGTCTCCAAGGTCACTCACAAGGTTGCTTTGTCACCTACCACAAACTCTAAAGATTTCCCATACCAAGTGCTCTTGCTACCAAGCCCAACACAATTGCTCTCTGAAATATTGGAAGTCTGTAGTGGCTCTGCCAATTATCTGGGACCTTATGAAATCTAATATCATCTTGGCAACAATTCTTGCAGGATAAACATAAACCTCACTGCTCAAGAAAATCTTAAAAGCATTCAAAATATGCCAGCAACTGATCAGGCCAAGCCTGGAGGCTCCGTAGAGCCTGATATGGTTTTATCGTTGTTTTGTTTTATCTAGGATGCAGTGTGTGTGTGTGTGTGTGTGTGTGTGTGTGTGTGTGTGTGTGTAGGAGTGGGGAGAAATTGCATGTGTATGTACATGCATGCTAATCTTGGGTATTGTTCCTCAGTCATCAGCCACCTTCTTCTTTAAACAGGGTCTTTCATAGGGGCCTGGAATGCACCAATTAGTCCTGACTGACTGCCATGAGCTCTAGAGAACCTCCTGTCACTGCTTGCCCAGCACTGGGATCTGAAGTGTCTGTCACCATGCCTGGCTCTCACATGGGTGACATGGGTGCCAGGAATGGAACCCAGGCCAGGCCCTCATCCTCGCATTGCAAGCGCTTTACCAATGAGCATCTCCGCAACACCTTGAAAGGTTTTGAAGACATCATTTTGGAAAACATTTATTGACTAATCCTCAACATTCTGGACACGAAGTTCCCAATAAAATAAGAATATTAATAACAATATTCAGGATCCTGGCTTTGAAGTTGTTGGTAATTTCTGGTGCTCTGCTTGGCATACTGAAAATATCTTCCTAGTTCCCTAAAGAGGTGACAGGCTTTGGGGGAAGAAGATGACAGAACAGCTTGCTGGGAGAGTAGCCAAGATTTCAAGCCCCCCACACCCACTTCTCCACGCTGGCAAGGCAGCACCATTTGAAAGACCAACAGTGTAAAATACAAAGGAAAAGGAAAAACACAATAAATCTTGTGCCCCATAATCCAGATGCCGGTCTACAGGAGAGCTGAAAGTACAGCTTCCTCCTCGGCAGGCCGAGGTCCCTCCAAGCGCTGAGCACAACAGGTATGTTGAGTAAGTGCAGGTGAGAAGAATAAAACAGAAACCCTGGGCCATGATGAAATTCCACTACTGGGCCAGCATCTGTTGGGAATGCAAGTAGAGATTTTGCTGATCTCCCAGTCTCAAGGCAGCTGGACCTTGTCCAGAATGCAGAGTAAATGTGAAAGTACATGGCTAAGAATCCAGTTGGTAAATCAACTGGGGTCAAAGTTTCATCCATTTCTGACTCAGTGGAGGAGAGGGCTTGTTCAAACGGGTCCATCATGTCTAACATCTTAGGTTATGATGATGTTCATGGTCCAGGGACCACTGTTGGAGAACAGTAGGGAGAGACAACCAAGAGTCCCAGAGACACCTCAGCTTTTGTCATCAGAGGGAGTGGAGAGCAGAGTTTCCGGGGACTCCAACCCTGATGAGTGGCCCACAAAGCCCTCCCCCTGGACTAGTTGGTACTCCCCAGCCTCCCACAGCAAGGAGGAAAGCAGCACTTTGAGCATAGGCCAAGGGTCTCCACAAGGGTCTGTATACTTTATATCCTCATTCCAGATGTGGAGACTGAGGCCCTAGCAGGCAGCCAGAAGAATCAGAATCCAAGCCCCTCATACACTACAGGACAAGCTCTCTCCTGACGTGTACCTGGCCTACATTCTACACACATGCAACGACGAAGGCCAAGGAAAAGTACAAGGTGGCTGCCACCTCAGGAAGCCCAGCTCAGCCTCAGCACTTGCTTTGTTTTTCTGAGGTGATAGTGGATATTTCTGGGGACTGCTAGGGTTCTGAGGACCCCGAAAAGGTCACTTGATCAGGTTTCAAAGAGGCTGATGTCCAAAGCCAAAAGATGAGTTTGGAGGTCAGTATTCATGGTCAGCTTGACAAGATCTAGATTCATCTAGATACAAATCTCTAAGGATGTCTGTGACAGTTCCTAGATTTGGATCGTAGAAGTGGGAAGAGTCACCTTAAATTTGGGTGACACCATACCCTGACTGCAGTCCAGGACTACACAAAAAAAGAGAGAGCCACGTGAGTGTCAGCCTTCACTGCTCCCTGCCTCCTGACTATGGCTGCCACATGAGCAAGTGCCTTGGGTTCCCGTGGCCACAGGCTTCCCTGTCATGACGGACTGTACCTCAATCTGTAAGCTAAAATAAGCCTTCCTCCTCTAAGCTGCTTTTGTCAGGTGATTTTTGTCTCAGCGAGAAAAGAAACCAATACAATGAGAGTACTCCAAAAACCTTCAGCTCGCCCACGAAGGCCTCACCATCACACACATGTTCAGCAACTCTGCCACCGTAGTGGCCGTCCTGGATGATTAAGACCTAGTAGCCAAAGCCCAGGGTTTCTATGGCACCCAGCATGCACACTCTCACAGAAGACAGCAAGGAGCTCTTCATGTTTTTGTGATATGGCATCATCTTCTCTGTTCATTCCCTTGCTGAAGCCTTTTTCCCTGACACATTGGCCCAAAGTAAAATGCGATGCATGGCAGGACGCGGGGAGTAAAATGACCAAACGCCTCATAAATGTTCCACACAAGGGACTTCAGAGCTCCTTCTGCACCCATCTCTGATCCCTCACGCAGCATCCCCACAGACTCACATCCTCCCTGAAGTCAGAAAAGCCTGGGAAACCCACAGGTGGGAGTCAGAGATGTCCCAGCTTTGCGCATAGCAGCTTTGCAATAACTATGAGCTATCACTCAAAATTTTCCATAATTATATGTTCTGTGGGTGATCTAAGCATGTGGTAAATGCTCTTTTAATTATGATTAGTGGAAAATTTCTGAGATTGGTGCTATTAGAATGGCCAAATGGCATTGTAACCTGCCCCAATATTCTCTCTCTCTCTCTCTCTCTCTCTCTCTCTCTCTCTCTCCTCTCTCTATCTCTGTGTATGTATGTGTTGTGTGTGATGTGTGTGTGTGTGTGTGTGTGTGTGTGTGTGTGTATGTTGGGTGTATGGTGCATGTGTGTGGTGTCTTTGGCTGCTGAGATGGATTTTTCAGATCACCTCACCCCTTCCCAAAGGCAAGTACAAATAAATGTATTCTGACCCATTGTCCTCCATTAGGAAAATTTGCCATAACTCTTGCAAAGCATTTTTACAATAAGACTCTAAAAACCTAAAAATGCTTATAGCTCGGGATCCAATAATCCCACTCTTGGGAATCAAGCATGAAGAAATAAGTTCCATGCGTGAAGAAGATGTGCACAGAGACATGCATCATAACAACAAGTCAATCAAAACAAACTAAATAGCCCATGGGGCTGAAAGCAAAACCCTGGTGCTCAGCCCTTAGTTCTATCCTTCTTGGTAAATAATCCTCCAAACCTGAATATCTGGATTTCCCACATTCAAATATGGAAATTGAGAGCATGTGCTTTGAAGTGCCTTACCAACAAAAGTAATTCCAGAGTGTAATAATGTAAACGACACTTGCAATGTCGGAGCAGCTTTTCATGTATTAAGAAAATGGGGCTTTTCTGGAATAGTCAGAATATGCCATGTTCTCCAGCAAAAATTATGTGAAATCTACTGTTGTGAGTCGTGGGGAAATGGTTGAAGCTAGATGTATGTAAAGATTGTAAAGATATTCGGCCAGGTGTGCATAAAGATGAAAAACCAAAGCATCAGGTTAACATCCTGTCCAAAACACCTCTAAAACTGTGGTTAACGGATTGCTCTTTTGTGTTATTGCTGCTCTGTGTGTGTGTGTGTGTGTGTGTGTGTGTGTGTGTACACTTGTCTCTGCAGGAATAATTGGCTATGTAGGCAGGTGTGGTGGCCAGAAACTGATCTTAGAGAGTCTTCCTCAGTCAGTTCTCCATGTGACATTTTGAGATTAGGTCTCCCACTGAACCTGAACCTCATGGTTGTGTCTATACTGCTTGGTCAACAAGGCTCTGGGATCCCCCTCCTCCAGTCCCCAGTATTAGGGTACAGGCATGTGCTGCAGAGCATGGCTTTTGTTTGGGCGCTGAGAAACCATGTTTAGGTCCCTATGCTTCCATAGCAAGCACTATACCCATGGAGCCATCTCCCCAGCCCCCAAGGGCTTGCTCTTGAGTCATAATTCCACAAGGATGAAAAGAACAAAGAAAAATACACTGAAAACACTACTAGAGTATATACCATCAGTAACTGACCTTCCAAACTGTAGAAGCCTGAATCCTTTTCAATGTCAGTAGAGGGTTCAAGGCCAATCAAGGCAGAAGGAGACTCATCCAATTCACAATTCACATTTCATTGTAGAAAGCGGGGAGGGCCATCGGGTCCTCAACTGAGATTTCAACCACTCCCTCTCTCTTCCGCCCCCCAAGTACATGTCATCCTTCTATGACTTCTCTAATTTCAAGGTAGTTACATCCATGTTGTGTCTGAAGAATGGTGCTCCATATCAGCCTTCTAAGAAAACCTACAAGGTTAAATGTAAAACCCAAAACAAGTAAAAGGAAAAGCAATACAGAGGGGGCAAAGTCTTCCAGAAAATATCCTGTCAATCATTCCTAGGGTGTGGGGGGTAAATCATCTACTAGACAATAATAGGGTACTAAAGAAAGACAACATCTGAGAACAAAAGAGAGGTTGGGGATTGGGGAGAGAGAGAGAGAGAGAGAGAATATCACAAATTTCATGGAAAAAGTTAATATAAAGCTTGGGATAGATCCCTGGATGAAAATCAAACTAAAAGGAGTTGGAAAAGAGAACACAGGAGAGAGAGAAATTAGATAACCAGATCAGGAAGACCGTGGGTAAAATGGAAATTTCTCAATGGAATCCCACTTGACTCTAGATTATATCAAGTAGGCAATAAAAACTAACCAGACCAGAGGGCAAAGATAGAAATAAAGCATTAAGCAGGGCAAAAATGAGATACACTTCAGACCTAACAAAATCTTGACCCACGCCCTGGGTACTCCAGACCCCAGGTGGTGCCCTGGCCTTGCACCCTCACTGTGTGCTCTACATAGTGTCAATGTTGTGCCCTCTTTAGTCAACTCTGTGACTGAGCTATCCAAAGGATGACACACCCCTGGGTGAGGCAATTCTCCACAGCCAAGGTAGACCTGAGAGATATCCATCCCCCTGAGAATGCTGGGTAGCTCATCTCTTGCCTTGAAATTCAACCCTTAGTAAATCAAATAGATGAGTGCCAACATTTTCCAAATGAAATATAAGCATGCCTCGGAGAGTATATAGCTTTAGATGCAGACCGTTGTAATAAAGTATTACAAGAAAGTGGGTCACACAAATTTGTTGGTTTCTCAGTGCATATAAAAGTTATTTTTGCATTACACTGCAGTCGATGGAGTCTGTAATTGCATGATGTCTAAAAATATCAACATGGATGTCTTTGTTAAATAAATGCTTTATTGCTAAGTTATGCTAACAGTCAGCTAGACCATTAGCAAGACACAATCATTTGCTAGTGAAGAGTCTGGCCGCAATGCTGATGGATTGAGGCATATCCAAATCCCACTTACCAAAGACTAGAGTACCAGTGCAATGTCTTAACAATGAAGTCAGCTGTATCAATTAGCACATCTGTTGCTAAAAGATTTCTCTGTGGTATGTAATGCTACTTGACGGCACCATGACCACAACAG